GGAATTCACATCTCTATAAGTTTTTCAGTCTATTCTTATTCCAGTGTCCAGGATTGAAGAGTTTCCTGAAGACATCAACTGCTGATAATGGGACTGCATTTGAAAGAACAAAGTTTTTGTTCATGGCTTCTATTTTTTGTTGTTCCTATATTCAATCTTACTTATAAAAAAAAAATAAAAAAAATAAAAATTGTACTCCTATAGATGGTCTGTTTTGAGTTAATGGAGTGTCTTTGTTCCATATGACATCCTTTCTAGTGCTTAAGGCTCATTGATCATTGAGCCACCTGGCTCATTATTGCTTCCTTCCTGTTGTTCTGTTGCTTCTTTGACAATTTTCCAAAATGACTAGTAAGCTTCATAACTGGATGGAGAGAAAATTTTCCATTTACACCTGAAATGGACTTAAAACTCTAGTGCCTTATTTTACAAAATTTAGTAGTTCATTCTATAAATGATTATAAGGTGCATAATAAAGAAACATGACATGAACCATAGAAACATTATCAGCAATATTGGCCAGTAGATTAGCTGCTGCTTGAGTTTTACCTGAGTAAATGTTCTCCTAGATTTTTATTTGATGAGGTACTATGAATTTATGAGGAGGAGGGCAGTGAAGTTCTTAATTTTCCAGTATTCGCATTAGGTTTGAAATATAACCAATTTTTTTTTTTGTAAATAAACTTATTGTCATAGCTATCTGACAGTATCATGCACATTTTAGGTTAATGATCCACCAGTTAGAAATTCACAGGAAACTTTCATGATGGAGATGCGGACAGCCAGAATGGTAAGGGGTTTTCTTCCCACTACTCGTCCTAGTATTACATAGGTATGAACACATGCTACACACACATAAACACATGAACTTATTCATACATATGCTAGATTTTTTCCCCCTTTTGAGTTTCTTTTTAGTAGTTGTATATAAGAAATTCTTCTCTTCTATGTTATGTATGACACGTTTCACTGAAGAAAGGCCATAGGAAATTAAGAAGGGTTAAACATGGCACAAACTTTTTCTAATTCAGAAATCTTAATTTCAAGTTTTCTGGCTGTAAATTTCGATCAATTCAGAGGAGCATCACTATCTATTTTTTTTAAAAATTTCGTAGTTCATGTGTTCTGTCCACGGAGTAATGTTCTTGACAGAGTGGTAGGACTACTATATATGCTTCAGTCATTATTTGAGTTGATAACTGTCTCTGCTCATTGATAGAATTAAGGGCAACTTCCTTCCGTTAAACTATTTTTCTCTATGCTACATATAGTTTTTGAATGCTTTACAATTTTCCCAACTTGTTTTTTCCCTTTTACCATTGTTAACGCATATACAACAGGTTCAGGCAGCTGACTCATTGCTTAAGTTGGTGTCAGAATTGAAGCAGACTGCTACCTTTTCAGGGTTTGCATCCCTAAATGATCATGTAGAGCAAAGAATAGAAGAGTTCAACCAACAATCGGGAAAAACTGATCGCATGCTAGCTAGAATTGGAGAGGAGGCAGCTGCTAGCCTCAGGGAGGTTGAATCTCGTTACTATTCTTCTGCACTGAGGACAAGTCAATCCCCTCAGCTATGAAATGAGGTCCCAAAAGGTGAGCACTTCATCACTGACTTCTTCTGTCAAGGAAATATTTTTAGAGTAATAATGTCTATTGAAATGCTTGGAAGGATTAGTAGAAGTTTTTTGTTCCTCGAAAGATAATCTGATTGAGCTTTTCTGATTGGTTTATTGTAAGGAGTTGGAGAGAACAATGACTCACATTATCTGAATATACATACATATATATATATATATATACATATATATATATATATATATATATCATCTCTCTCAACAAGGGGGATCAAGCACCATAGCCCATCATAGTCTCTGCTATCATCATTATCCTCTCTTAATTGGGGAGCGAGCTTGGAACCATATATCTGGTTCCTATAGTTGAATACAAAATTCCTTTTGTGTTGATTGAGGTTTAAATTTGCATAATCTATTGTAGTATTAGTTTTCCCCCCATTATTCTGTATTTCATTTGATCAGTAATGGATTTTTTTTGTTTCCATAATTCTGTATTTATTAGGTCTGACATTCTATTGATAATACTGTACACCTTACCCCAACTTCGCGGAGTTGTCATCGTCCCACATTCATGTAATCTAAGGCTGCAAAGCCTTCGGTCAAGGCAGCCAGTGAGTTGTCTTGTCTCGGTTAGTATATCAAGGTCCTATCTGAAATACACCGAAGTACATCTGGTTGTAGTACAGTCTAAATATGAATGAGAGGTTGGACAAAGAATATTTTCATCCTTAGTCATAGGTACATTGGCAGATTGTTACTGTACCCATTAGCTTCCCTGTAGTTATTGGCTCATATGGGTATTCCATGTCTTTCTAGTAAGGTACTTGTAATTATCATTTGTGGATACTCATTCATACTTTGATTAAGTCATTTTTTCTTTTTTTGAGATAAGTAATGAACATTTACCACCAATATATATATAATGAAGCTCAAAACACAGTCACACTCAACAACCAACAAAGCTCTCGTGCTTGAGAGACTAGAACGCATAACAATTGACAAATTGAGGGGAAAAAATACCTAACCATTTAAGAAACAGTGAAAATCAAAAGAATGAAATCCAAACAAGCTTGAGGCACGCTAAAATGAAAAAAAAGGAGTGACTACCCCGTCTATATAGGTATGAAAGTAAAGTAGTGCATAAGTAGAGAGGTCCAAACATTCTTAAGATACGCATTACCTAAATCTGCTATAATGGGCCAAAAGCACAGGGCAGAACATCAAAATATCGCTCAGTCAGGGCCGAAGCTCAGCTTCCACGCTTGTCACTAAATCAAGATTTCAGAAAAGCCAATTATGAAGGTGATCTTCAAGTCTCTGATTAGGCCTCCTCACCTGCTTTACCAGGGTTCCCTTGGGAGGCTTCTCTAGGGTTTCATTTGAATATATACTACGCCCATGAACATCTCTCTACCCTTGTATATGATTTTCCAACTATGGAATTGGATTTTCTTGGTAAGTTTGCATCTTGAAATATAATACAGTCTGCATTTATTTACTCATTTTTATGGGCCAAGCTGTTTAAACCATGATTAATGTTTTGTTTTTATATTTTATTTTTTCCTTTTTTTCTCTTGATTTCAGATTACCTTTTTAATGAGTTGAACATTCTCTCAACAGGTTTATGAGAACAAGGTGAGATCGGAGGAAGGCTAGAAATTCTTGAGGATAAAGCCTTACGACAGTGCTTGAAAACAAGGGTCTAATACGAAGTCTCTTAGCTCAACTCTGCTACTGCATCCCCCCAAGTTAGTGCCCAGAAAAAGGGATGAAGAAGGGAGGAAAGGAAAGAAAAGAAGAATACCAAAATGCCTGAAGTTTTGAAACATGAGATGGATTCAATGCCTGGCTTACAAGTAAGCTTTACAACATAACAAGACAGCTTTGACTAAATGACAGCTAATTTTTTTGGAGTAATGCTCTTATAAGAGGCCGGACAAGATACATGATATCCTTACATTTAACTAATGAATTGAAATACGTATTAAATCACTCAAATTATTCATTTGCCTTTCCACAAGTGTCAAATTTGAAGGGTTCATGACTCTTATCACGATGGAACTCTCTTATGAGTATTTTTTATTACTATTTTATACACGTATTTTTCCAAGTATACATGAATTGAAATATGTATTAAATCACTCAAATTATTCATTTGCCTTTTCACAAGTGTCAAAAGAACTGTTACGAAGAAGTTATTAAATTTGAAGGGTTCATGACTCTTATCATGATGGAACTCTCTAAAGAGTATCATTCAGTTTTTTTATTACTGTTTTATACACCTATCCTTCCAAGTATACATGATGGTAGGAGGAAAAGACTTTTGCATAATTTTCATGGTTGAATTAATACAGGATGGTTGAATATTAGGTGAAAAGCTAGAAATTCATGATTTATTGAATTGTACTTCTTTGGTTAGTGTTGAAATTGACAAAAGGTTGCCAGTAGTCATTTTAGATCTTTATTGAGGCACTAAAAACTTCTTTCGCGAGTGTTTAAACAAAAAAGCTAGCACAGACCATTGTTTTCTTGAAAATGGTGTTTGATATATCTGTTTTTGAGATACAAAAATGTAATGGTGGGTATTGATATAGTGACTTAAATGGAAAAAGGAGACTTTATTAATTTTTCATTAGCATTTTTATATATAGAATAACTTAGTTAAGATCTTGTTGCGCCTAATTGAAAAGTAAAATTATTGACCAAAAAATTTGATATGAAGGTGATGTAAAATATTTTCTTTTTCAGGTAAAATATTTTTTAATTTTTAATTTTTCAGTCTCATGTAATTTATCAAAAATAAATAAATAAATTATTTTTATTAAATTTTAATATATATTTTTTTCATAAATATTTTTTAAATAATATCTTACATCCAAACAAACAAGCACAAATAAATCTTGATTGTACAAATGAATACAAACAAGTACAAATAAATCTTGATTGTACAAATGAATATGCCGGATATATCCAAACAATAGTACTATGTCCTGAGCATCTTTATTGATTAGAACTAGTATCTTAATAGTATACTGATTATTTATTTTTTTATCTTTTGGTAATAATAATGTACTATGAATGATTCTATTTCTGCCGACTGCTTAGTTGCGCGACGGAGAGCGAGAGGCTCTCTGCTGGCCGTCGAACTCGGAGTCGCCGACAAAATCTCTCTCTCCCCTCTGTTGTGGAAAGTCGGCAGAGTCGCAGGAGGCCAATCAGTTTTCTAGTCATATTATAATCCAACGGCGAAAACAAGAATAGATCTCACGGATATGCTTTCACGAACACCTAGTGCTCACACAGTGGATATTATAACGTCCGAAAAAAAAGAACATACAACAGGATATTCCTATTTTATTTTACGAATATTCTTTTGTTCTCAACTCTCTCTCCTCTATCTATATATAATATATATATACACACACCTTGCGGCTCTCTTCGCTCTCCATTATTGAAACTTGTCAGATACAATCCGGTACCGGAAATAACAATTCTCTGTTTTATTGCCGGCCGTTTCGCATTATCTGCGGCGAACAGAGATTGAGAAATTGTAACGTACGTGAACGACCATGCATTTCTGGAAGATTCTCAACGCTTTGATCGAGCAGATGTTACCTGATTGGCGAGACAAGTTCTTGTCCTACAAGGATCTGAAGAAGCAATTGAAGCTGATTTACCCTAAGGAAGGAGAGGTTGCTCGGCCGAACAAGCGGCCTAGATTGGGCGACGAGACGGACGGTCGTGATGAGGCCGAGGAGGAGCGGAAGGTGGTGGCCGGAGGAGAAGGAGAGGGTGAGGAGGTGGTGGTGACGAAGGAGGTGATTGATTTCGTGAAGCTGTTGGAGGAAGAGATCGAGAAGTTCAACGCCTTCTTTTTGGATAAACAAGAAAATTATGTTATCAAATTAAAGGTATTATTGTTCATTCTTCGTTCTTTGATTTCATTTATTTAATTTAATCTTGATTAAATGTAGAAATCTTGGTAATTTTCATTCAATAATTTATAAGATTATAGAAAAAATGTCAGAGATAGTAAATCATGAAAGAAAATATTATTAATAATCTATTAAATGAAGTGAAGTAGTAAATGATAATAGGTTGATTGGGAGTAAACTAATCAAATTATAACAGGTTTGAAATTAATTTTTCAAAAGATAATTCATATTTAAAATTGAGATGTGAATTTAAGAAATTTATTTAAAAAGATAAATTCATGCACAAAGTTAGAATCATTCATAAAAAATAAAATTCCACACACGAAACTTAGAACCACCTAAGTCAAAATGGGCTCTACCATCTGATTCAACATTTGATCAAGCAAAAATGTAAAATTGACAGGCTGCCGAGGCTTCGAGGACTTGATGGGTGGGGGTGTCAAAAAAAGAAAAAAAAGAAAAAAAAAAAAAGACATAGTAATTAGACAAAACCAAAAACTAACAGACAAATTTAGTTCGGCTTTGCTTCCCTTTTGGCGGGGAAAGTTGCTTGATTATTTTTTGTTTGTGTCTAATTCTTTTGCTATCATAGTCTTTTTGTGCTGCCCCCACCCGTCGAGTTTGTCCCGCCTCTCCAGCCTGCCAATTGTTTATTTTTACTGTGATTACTTATTTAGATGGTACAGGAACATATAACATCAACATCAAAATGTAAGTGTTATAATTTGATTAGTTTACTCCAAATTAATCTCTTTTCTTGGTTGTTACATTCAAAGCGTATATATTATCATTTACTATTTCATTCGAATTAATAGATTATTTCTCGGTTTTATGCGCCTGGGGTTGCATGCCTTTTTTTGTTTATATCTTTATCTTAATTGTTTCTGCAAGTTTGTATATAGAAGATGATAGATGGCGTTTAGCTTATCTTTTATTGGGCGAGGAAGTAAGCAAGGAGATATATATTGAAATAAACCTCTTCTTTTTTCTTTTTTCGGTTGGAGTGCAGGTACTGCAAGAAAGGATAGCAGAGTCCATGAATTCAAGTGAAGAGCTGATGAAGGTAGGGAGGCAGATAGTTGATTTTCATGGAGAGATGGTTCTTTTGGAGAACTACAGTGCCTTGAACTACACAGGTATTTACCTTAATAATTGTAAATGCTTGTCTAAAGTAGTGGATGAGCTATATCTTCGATCTAAAAGACGATGCTTAGGACAGTGTACCTATTGTAGTAATTTGATGTGTGTTAATGGTTCATATATCAATTATCTCGAAATTGCCCATCTAGGTGTTGTGCTAATACCATTACCTCTATTACTAGTGAACTACAATTTGATATTTGATATGAGATGCGACCCTTTCTGAACAGTGTCCATCCACTTATTGAAATAAAATAATGAATTGGTCCTTGCCAACACTTCTTGGACACTCTTTAAGTGCGTAGTCAACAAACATTGATGATTGGACTACGACTTCATGTAGTATGGACAAAATTGTAATAAAAATAATAGGATATATATTAGATTGAAAGAGAAGGGCTTGACCATTTGTGGGAACGGAAGTAAATTAGAGAGATTTTGTCAAAGAAGTGGGAGTGGATGGAAGAGAGTAGTCATCGTAATTATGTCTGAACACCTACATATGTGTAATGACATATATGAAGTTACGAACACATGTAAGTAGGTCAATCTCACATGGATGCAGATACATATATCATTCACGCATGCATGTATACACTTATATGTATACATACATTTTTAATATTCAGGTGTCAACACGTCCATTTTGTGTTGTCCTCGCAACTAAGAAACTCATCTTTGACGAGGTGGATATTGCCTCTGATAATTCATCGAAAGCTCTCATTAGACGCCACTGGCATACTTACTCTCAATGCTGCAATAAATAACCTTTGTTGTGGATAAAACTATTTGGAATTTATTTTTATTTTTATTTTTATTTTTTGCCCTTTCCTAGAAACAGTGAATCTGTATTAAAGAAGCATTTGCCAGTTCATGTATAAAAGATGTATGTGGAAAGTGGAAACCAATTGAAAATTTAAGGGCCTCCTTAGTTCACTTTTCTGAAAACAATTTTCTTTTATTTAAAGACTAAAAACTACTAAAATATTCGTATGATTGACAGTTTTCTGAAAAATGAGTTGAAAAAAGGCCTATTTTTGAACCAAACAGGTCCTAAATTCGGTTTGTCATTTTGAATCACCTTGTAGTTTGTAGTCTTTAAGCTATGCAGTCTGTTTGAGCTTTCTATCTCTCTGTAATTCTTCAACGGTCGGGTTTGATTTGGCCCATTTGTTCCATTTGGATGAGAATGCAAGGAACTTTCTTGTGATCTAATGTATAGAGTGACAGTAGAACCACTTGTGTGAGAATTTGTGTTATTGTTTACTTACCTGGATCTAGCTCAACTGAATTTTCACATATTTGATGAGAAGCTTTAAATTTACCTAAGAGGCTTAGAGTTCTCACTTTGTCAGCTTGACTTTCATGCTAAGCACATAGTTACCTGCTAATATAATAATAATTTACATGCACGCACGCGCATGCGCCAGATGTTTCTTGGAATTTTTTTGGTGAATTTGCTGTAGTAAGGATATGTTATAGAGTTCAGGAGATAGCGAGAGTAGACTTCAAGAGTCAGTTTCCTTTGGCAAGATGAATATGAATAGTTCTGTATTAGTAGTCTTCTTGTGTCAAACCTTAAATTGATTAATTTCTGGTCTTGATTAATAATTATTATTTATTTTTTCAGGATTGGTGAAGATACTGAAGAAATATGACAAAAGAAGCGGTGCTCTAATCCGCTTGCCTTTCATACAAAAGGTTTTGAAACAGCCATTTTTCACAACTGATGTGCTTAATGAGCTTGTGAAGGATAGTGAGACGATGCTTGATCAACTTTTCTCCATGAACGAGCAACCGGCCGCTTCTGAAACAACTGAAAGAAAAGAAAAGTGTGGCATTGAGACTGCTGTTGAAAATAGAGATGGACTTCTCAGAGTTCCCCAAGAGCTTGGCGAAATAAAAAACATGGAGAGCATGTACACGAAGCTTACTATATCAGCACTGCAAGTCTTGAAAGATATTCGAAGCGGAAGTTCTACAGTAAGCATGTTTTCATTGCCCCCTTTGCAAAGTAATGATTTGGAGATTTGGAAGAACATTCCTGTTTTAGAGCAAACAGCCAAGTAGTTTAGGGGAAGTCCCTCTCTCCTCATTTTCCCTGGAAATATTCAACTTTCCACAGAAATTGTTTTCTTTCCTTCCAAGAAAATGGTGTGGCGAGGGTCACTCAGTGGGCGCGACTCATCACTGTTGGATCACGTGGTTGACTTCATTAGCCACGATCCAATGGTGATGAGGGCGCGAACTCGGCGCTCTTCCTTTTATTCTTTTACTTTCCGGAAGCCCTTGTATAAAAACCATGGCGCAAAGGAACTTTGGTTGATCTTTTCCTCTTTGTAGAAAATTTCTGTTAGTTAAGAAGTGCTTTGATCTTTTATGTGAAACAATGTCTTTTGACTCTTACAATTTTAGTTATAACAATACGTCTTGATTTCATGGATTTGAGCATTAATCTACTTGTTTTTAATTCACCTGAAAAGAAGAGGTTTTTTAAAATTAGGGTTTTTCACATCTATTGAATCGATACTCAGATCTCTCCTCAGAAACCATTTTGAACTGTAAAAATATGCATATTACTCCCTCTTTGAAGGTGTAGTGTGTGTACGGAGGAATTTATACAATTAGTTTTAAGGACAATTTGGTAATTTAATTCCAGGACAATGTACGATTTTTATTTTTATATACAATTCAATGGAATTTTGTGCAATTGACTCACTATTTCTATTTGTCATAGACTTGTTTGCAACTCAACTAGTCACAAAATCACAGATATGTCAATTTACAATATAAAACCACACTCCATCTATAAATATAACAAAAAAATTAAAATTTATTATCTGAATAATTAATAGAACAATTATTCAGGCAGGATTCAAAGAGCAAAAATTACGGTATGGGTTTTGTTATGGTGAAATTCCTTAAATCTAATGTTGCTGCACAAAAGATCGAGTATATATTTTGTTTATCCTCTTAACTTTCCTTTTTATAGAGATCCAAGTGAGCCGACAAGCTCATTCTATGGTCACAGGCTAAGTTACAGAATTATTTAAAAAAATATGTCACTCTCACGTTTCATGCTATTATTCATTCTACTTTCAATTTGTGAGATTAAATTTTGTTACTTCGGAGTTTTAAGTCAAGGTTCGTGATTACAATGTAGAGCCCATTTGCCAATAGAATGGGCTAGCCCCTTTACAATGCCTAAGAGTTTTGGCTTTAATTTGAATCAAAATATAAATCAGTTCAGAAAATTTCCTAGCAAAAAAAACACTGGTATTTTTGTAATAGACGCAATTATTTTTAAGTAACATCATTGTATCATCTTTTAAATCCTTATTGTTATTATATTATTTCTTTTTCTTCTTTCTTCTTATCATTTTTTTTAATATTGTTTTAATTTCTCTCCCTATAGTGACTCGGTTAAGCCGGCATCATACGGGAAATAGAAACTTTATCATTTTTTATTATTATATTTTTTCTTTCTCCCTATCTTAATTCAATTAAGCTGAAACTGAAAGCTTTGCATATTTTATTTTATTAATTTTTTAATTATAAAGACACTAAATATAAATGACATTGACATATTTTTATATTTATATATATAACCGGCCAACCAGGCTTGTAAGATCTCTCATAAGATAAAGCCAAATGTTTTGCCGTTTGCTCTCTACGTAGAAAAATCTCTTTGATTTCTTATTATATTCATATATATATATATATATATATATTTTAATATTTAAAATGATACATGAATCAAATCGGTTGTATCGGTTCCCTCAAAAAAAGTGACAAGTTTCGCAAACTTGTGCAACATTCTTTTATATTTATACATTAAATTCTTTAAGTAATCAACTCTTTTTGTTTTTTATATTGTAAAAAATAATTGTAAGTTTATTCTAAACCTATTCGTATAAACATCTCACTGTCAAATAATAGTATAATAATTTTTATTTATTATTATTATTATTATTATTTCACGTATTTAAAGCGTGCGAACAATTTTGTATTATTATGAATACTACTTTGATGTTTTTGGACTTTGCTGTCACTCTCAGGCTCTACTACTATTTCTAAGTACTATTAATTAAGGGCTTTAATGTTTAAATATAGCCTCGTATTTTGCTTGCTATACTTTTAAAACATGGGCTGGGGTTGCAGTGTTTGTATATATCCTCAATTTGGAGGATGTCTAATTAAAATTATATTTGTATTGTTTTTCGATAATGAAGATATAAAATATGATATGATCATCACATTTGGATGGCCATAAAAATTTGTTTATTCTTTGTTCTTGAAGATTAAAAAATGTTGAAATATGAGATCCAGATTTTTCTATTTTTGTCATTTTTAAGCGAATTATAAAAGTTGAAAAAATTCAATTGCCTTTGCTATTATATTGGCATACTACACTGAACATATTAATATGATTTTGTTATATATATATATATATATATATATATATATATATATATATATATTCGCATTAAATTCTTTTGATAGCGTCCAGTATTAGGTAGAATTATGACTTTTAGTTTACTACCTTGCCCGGAAGGGAAGGGGCCTGAGTTGTGATTACTATTTGCTTGTAAGTTGATTTTCTTATTATTGCTTCAAAATTCTTTTTAGTTTCTGTTTCAAGAAAACATGAAAATATATTGAAGTGGACTCTTCTATCATCAAATTTTTTTTTTCCCCGATAAATGAACGTATATTGAAAGGAAAAAGGAACTGTATAGGAAACAGGGACCCCCCAAGAAATGCCAAAGCCAAACAAGCCCAAAGGAGCAAACCTAGAAGGCTCAACCTAAAGGAAGACCCAAGACGAGAATAAAAAAAGAAAAGAAAAAAAGAGACCGTTAATCCAACCTTCAAACAAACATGGAGGTTGGAGCAACAACCTTTGAAAACAAACAATTACAAGGGATGTTGATCGCTCCCTAAATACAAAGCTAGGGAGGTGCCAAACACTAGTGTCACGAGCTTATGCTGTTAGGGAAGGCCACGGACATCAGACGGAAGCAAACGTTATCATTGATCAACTTGAGGAAATGGTCAGAGACCCAGTCTTCCATGAGAAAATGTGGTTGTTGCTTTCCTTCCACAAGTGTAAATACAAGAAGTAATACAAAGATTGAAGGTGTATGCCTTGATAGATTTCGAATTCGGTCTCTACAAGGAACCTATCCAATTGACTAATCCATGGAGGTTGTAGTCTCGATCCCCTGTAAATGCCACATTTATGTTTTGAAAGAAATTCCAAATGCAAGTTGAGAATGGACACTTGAAGAATACATGTTGGTGGTTTTATGGATCATTGGAGCATAGAGAGCAAATAAGAGAATTACCTCTATAAGAAACATTTATCTTATCCTTAGTGTTGAGACGACTGCTGTGTTGTGATTTTGTAGAGGCTGAGGTAATTATTTTTTAGGAAGATTTAATTATATGAAAACTTCAAGAGTACTGAATTTTAGGGAAAATTCAGTTTCCTGATCTGGTTTAACTTCTTTATTGGTTTAAGGAAAATTCAGTTTCCTGATCAGATTTAACTTCTTTATTGGTTTTGGATTCTACAAAAGGCAAGTTCTTGTAGAACAAGTTTGGGGACTCTATAAATAACTCTAATAAGATTTTAGAGTGTGAAAGTTAGATATAAATTTGTGCCAATACAAGAAAGAGCAATTGAGAGAGATTGGAGAGAATTCTTCATTAGAGCAATTGAGAGAGATTGGAGAGAATTCTTCATTGTAATTCTTTATCTTCTTCATAGTGAATTTGTTCAGTGTGCTCCATGGACGTAACCCTAAGATTTAAGTGAACATGTATATCTTGTGTTCTTGTGGGTGATTTTTTTTATTCTTCGTGATTGCTTGTTTATTCCTTGAACAATATTGTTTATTTTATGTTTTCGCCACAACATTTGGTATCAAATCCTACTGATTGTGCAGAGCAACTCTAACAATTGGTAATAGAGCCTTTGGTTGAGAACCTAGGGCACAGAAGGTGTTTGACGGAATTCCGAAAGTTTTTCAATCAAATCTGTCCGTTCGAGTGGGAGTAATGGCATCAGAAGATAAAACATCCACATCCATGATCGAGAAGTTCGATGGCTCAAACTTCGGTTTCTGGAAGATGCAAATAGAAGACCTCTTGTTTCAAAAAAATCTGTATCAACCTTTGGGAGAGAAGCCAAAGGATGCAGATTGGGAATTACTTGATAGGAAGGCTCTTGGCACCGTCAGATTAATGTTGTCAAAGTTAGTCGCCTTCAATATAACGAATGAGAAGTTGACGAAGTCTTTCATGGCAGCCCTTTCTAGTATGTATGAACAACCTTCTACAACGAACAAGGTGCACTTGATCAAGAAGTTGTTCAACATGAAGATGGTCGAAGGTGGTAAGTTTAACGAACATCTAAATGCGTTCAACGAGATAGTTGGTTAATTAGAGTCTGTTGATATCGACTTCAAAGATGAGGTCCGAGCACTGCTAATTCTAGGGCAGTTACCCGAAAGTTGGAGTGGCACAGTTACAGCGATCAATAGCTCTGCAGGGAAGACCAAGTTGAAGTTTGATGAAGTTGTGAGCATAATTCTGACTGAAGAAATCAGAAAGCAAACATCATGGGTTTCCACCAGTGGTTCGGCATTGAATGTTAAAAGTAGAGGCAAGGGTTTAAACAAGAAGAAGGACAACGATAATAGAAATAGAGGCAAATCCAAGTCAAGGAATGGAAAAACATAGTCTCAAAATTTCAACAATTCCATAGATCTCAGTGAAGTTGAGTGTTGGAATTTTGGAAAGGAGGGACATTACTGTGTTGATTGCAGACTTCTAAAGAAGGGAACCAAAAGAAAAACTGAAGCAAATGTTGTCTCAGAAGAATCAGATGATGCATTAATATGCTCTTTGGAGAGCAAGGCGGAGTCATGGGTTTTAAATTCCGGCGTATCGTTTCATGGCACCTCAAGCAAAGAACTATTTAATAGCTATGAATCAGGTAACCTTGGCAAGGTGTATCTTGGTGATGATAATCCTTGCAGCGTCATTGGCAAGGGTGAAGTGCAAATCAAGTTGAATGGGTCAGCTTGGAAGTTGAAGGATGTGAGACACATCCCTGACTTGAGGAAGAATTTGATTTTGGTGGGACAATTGTCAGAGGAAGGTTTTGTTATAACCTTTAATGGAGACTCGTGGAAAGTTTCCAGAGGCGCTATGACTATTGCACGTGGTAAGAAATCTGGCACTCTCTACACAACTACCAGTGCTTGTGAGTTTATAGCAGTTGCAGAAAACAGAGAAGATCACAACCTTTGGCACCAGAGACTCAGTCACATGAGTGAAAGGGGGCTCAAGATTTTGCATTCAAAGGGGAAACTATCAGGCATACGGGCAATTGATATTGACTTCTGTGAGAGTTGCGTGATGGGAAAACA